GACTGTTTGTTTTTTGTGTGCTAAGATAGAAGCAGTGGGACTGTATGAATCAGCAGCTGTGTGGCCTGCTAGCCTGCTGTTGCCGGTATTGTTTTTGCTGCACTGATGGCCATTCACGCTGAGCTGAACTGTCTTACTGTCCTCCGCTGGCTTTAACTCTCTTCAGCAATGGTTCTCTTGTACAGTTGAGTTCACGGTGGCTCAACAGTGATTCGTTTTTTCTATGACATGCTTTCCTGAACCACATAAGTAAACACTGCTCATAAATCATACGTGTGGTTATGGAGGAGCATTGCTTCATGTGTGATTGCTATTTGAATGATGAAAGCGGCCAGTCGCAGCCCCCCCACCACACCCACTTCTGTGGTTACACCATAGTTAAAATCTTGTAAATAAAATGTGATTAAAGAGTCTTAACGGCTTAGATTGGAGGAAAAATCCACATGTACCATGCGAGAGTCTGAAATAATGGCCTTTATTTCTTTATATTTAAACCAATAAGAAGCTGGAGTCGCTTTCTGAACGTCTTTCAAGGTTGTTGGGTTTTTTGTTGTTGTTTGTTTACTCATTTTCAGCCCCTTCCTCGTACCTCACAAGTTTCAACGAGCTGATTCCTAAAGAGCTATTAAATGCAAACTTGACATGCTGTGCACTACATCCTTACAAATTTGAAGGAAACCTGACAATGGAGGACTAATTAAGAAACGTTAGCCCTAAAAAACTCCGTACAGCAGATGAACACTATCTGAAAGTCACATTATTGACAAACTGGAAAAAATCCAGCAAAGATCTGACACAGACCCTGAGATCCATCTGGCCCTTCAGTTGATCCATGTAGTGTTTGCTAAAGCCTCTTCAGAAATGCTCTCAGTGGATGATGGCTGTCAAGAAGCCATCGTTAAATAATCAGAAAGACTTTATTTATCCCCAAGGGGTAATTAAGACACAACAAAGCAGCGTGACATTGAAGATAAGGACAAACAATAAGAGTGAGATAATAAATACACAGAATATACACAGTTATAAAATTACACAGTTTTAAAATTAAAGTGACTGAATAGGTGAATAAATAACTG